AAGTGGGAGGTGCAGGAGGAGAAGGGAGAAGAGAAGGAAGTGGAGGTGGAGGAGAAGCATTTTACTGCTTCTTGGAAGGTGAGTCACCTTCCATGAAAATGTCAGGAACCTCTGGACTGACAGATTCTCCACCATGAACATCCTCTCTCCTTCTTGAAGTGGAAGGCTGAGGGCTAGCATCTTGTTCCCTCTGCCTTTTACTGAAGAAAGTGTCAATTGTGGTCTGTGGGGCATCTGTCCTCCTCACCATTAACTTATGTTTAAAGAAGGAGACCACTGAGTCCTCAACATGACACAAAGTTAGTTCAGTTTTTCCACTTCTGGGTGCTTTGAAGCCAGTTCCCTGAACTTCTCCCAGTGGTAAATCACATCTTTCAACTGTTTAGCTGACATATGGTCATCACTTTCAATTTCCTCCTCACCACTGTCAGCCTCTACCCGTAACATCTCATCCAGTTCCTTCAAGTCATTAGGAGTAAGTTCCTCCTCATGAGACATCACAAGCTCTTCCACATCCTTCTCCTCCACTTCAAGACCCAATGACTGACCAATGGACACAATCTCCTGGTCCAACTCTGTGTCATCCTCAAATCCCTCAAAATCATGGACTACTGATGGCCACAGTGCTTTCCATGAAGAATTGAGGGTTCTATTGGAGACTTCTTGCCATGATGACACAATCAATTTTACAGCCTCCAGGACGTTGAATTGTGTCTTCCAGAACTGTTTCAGTGTTAGTTCAGGATCAATGGAAGTTGCCTGATGACACCTCCTAAACATTTTCTTCATGTACAACTTCTTGAAGTTGCTGATCACATTCTGGTCCATTGGCTGTATGAGTGATGTAGTGTTTGGAGGCAAAAACAACACTTTCACAAAGTCAAATTGATACTCCAAATTTCTGGCAAGGTCAGGGTCATGACCAGGAGCATTATCCATGAGGAGAAGAGCCTTTAAAGGAAGTTTATTGGTGGTTAGGTAGCTCTTGACAGAGGGGCAAAACACATCAACAGCCCATTCATTAAAGAACTGTCTTGTCACCCATGCCTTACGGTTGGACTTCCAATAAACTCCAAGCATTGTTCTTACCACTTTCTGTTGCTTGAACACCCTGGGGTTTTCAGAGTGGTAGACAAGCATAGGCTTCAGTCGGAAATCCCCTGAAGCATTGGCACCAAGCAATAGAGTGAGACGGTCTTTCATGGGTTTATGCCCAGGTAAAGAGGCTTCATCCTTGGTGATGAATGTTCTTTTGGGCATCTTTTTCCAGAACAGCCCAGTTTCGTCAACATTGAACACTTGCTGTGGAAGATAATTTTCTTCTTCCATCAGTTTTTTAAATTCAATTAAAAACTTTGCTGCCCCTTCTTTATCAGCACTAGCAGCTTCACCATGCCTAACAACACTTAAAATGTCACTTCTTTTCTTAAATTTTTCGAACCAGCCTTTGCTAGCCCGAAAATCTTCAAATTCTGTTCCTGAAGAACCAGGTTGATCTGTCTTTAAATGTTCATAAATCTCCCTGGCTCTTTCACAAATGAAATCACCAGAAACTGAATCACCTTTCATCTGTTTTTCCCTAATCCAGATGATAAGTAACCTCTCAGTTTCTACGATTAGGGATCTACTTTTAAACACTCTTGTAGATTTGTCTCTCACGTTCACTTCCTTAAATTTGTCTTTTTGTGCAAGAATTGTCGACACAGTTGATGCCGACATGCCATATTCTTTGCATAGCGCATTTGATTTAATACCTTGTTCGTGTTTTTTTATTATTTCCTGCTTCATTTGGATTGAAATCACTTTTCTTGATCTCTTAGGCCCCATGCTGGATTCAAACAATGGCAACACGTATTTTTCAAAGTTAAACTAGCTGTAAATAAAGAATATTTTCTTTAAAGTAACACTGCACTGCACTATATATTGTCAATATGTAAAATAATTTTCAAAATGACCAATAATTTGCTTGGAAACACAGAAAAAAAGCGTTTAGTTGAAGAGAGTCTCAAGCAAGATGTTACCTCCAGTGAAAACAGAGAGAGACTGACGCCTGTTTGCTGTGTTAAGAGGCTGGATGCCGCGCATTAAACTAGTCACTTTACCTTCAATTTTGTTCAATAATTGTTAAAATGACTAAAAAATTGAATATTAAACTTTTAAAATTATTGAATAGTATAAACTTCTTGATATTTACAAAAATAGTAAGGAATTTAAGCCCTAGAACCGATTAATGTATTGGCGGACTGATACTAAAGCTGGTTGCCCGGTCAGTGCAAGCGAAAACATGTTGAGGTCGGTTCGTAAGAAGTTCGTTAAGCGAAATTTTTTTCGTTAACCGAATTGAAGATCCTTATGGAAGGCAGTTCGTTAATCGAAATTACGTTAACCGAGGTGTTCGTTAAACGAGGGGTCACTGTATGTGCGGACCATAACTTCAGGTGCTTGAAGTAGTGGAAAGATGCAGTTTCAATATCCACCAAGTAAACTGCTAACTTTGCAACAAAACTCTTCCAAGTGTCATACAGTTCCCTTACTGTCTGTCCTACACCCTGCAGGTGAAGGTTGAGATCATTGAGGTGTTTGATGATGTCTGACAGAAACTTAAGTTCCACTAACCACTAGTCCTCTTCCAGCTCTGGGTATTTTTTTACCCTTTTCTGTCAAAAAGGTTTCGATTTTGTCAAGCATTCCACAAATCATTATAAAACCTTCCCACAACTTAACCCATTAACACTGCAGTGAAGGGGTATGTCTCGGTACACATACCCCATCTCATCAAGAAAAGACCGAAATTATCTGTGTGTAAGAGCAGATCGTGCAACAAGAAGATTCAAAATTTTTGTCACAGTGGCCATCACCTAAGATGAACTGATTTCAAAATTCTGACCAAAAGATTATCTTGATGAATAATGCAATGCAACTTCAGGATGGGGGTGCCCAATTTTATCATCAATTAGCTTGGCAAATCACTTTTGTTTTCCTACCATTACCGGAGTGCTGTCCGTTGTAACTGGAAATATTTTCTTAATGTTAACTCCTCTCTCCTCAAAATAATTAGAGAACGTTTTAACAATGCCATTTCCCTGGGTAGTGCCTTCCATAGGTTTTAAGCAGCATAGCTCCTTGTGCACTTATGTGTCACTGTACCTGGCAACAGCAGTTAAATGTGGAATGTCATTAATATCAACACACTCATCAAGAGCCACACTGAACGTTGTTGCATTTGTTAATGCAACAGTTTACTGTTGACTTATATTTGCAGCCATGTCTGATATGTGCCTCTCTACACTCCTAGCAGAAACAGGCATGTCTTTTATCCTTGAGATTATTGTGTGTTTGTTTGAAAAATCACTAAATAAAGCTTCAGAGCTGTTGAGGAAATCCTCCTTTATATAATCCCCATCAGTAAATGGTTTTCCATGTTTACCATGTTTAACAAAAGTACAAAGAGAAACTTTGTATCTGGCCTGAGTTTCATGATTTTTGCTGCTTTGTCAGCATTTTTCTTAAATGTCTTCTCATGCTTCGTTTCAAAATTTTGCTTTACACTCAATGTCGGCAAACAACATTCCCACAACAAAGATCACACAGCTTGATCTTTATGCAGAATAAATCCAAAGTCCATCGTCCAGGGTTGTTAAAGGACCGGGCAGCTGCCATTGTGGACACTTAATTAGGCACAACTCACGTCACCACAGCTAAAAGTACACTGACTGTGCCTGACGATCTGAATATCCATTGTTGCCAACTAGAAATATAAACTCACACCAGATTTCCAAAACTCTCTGGATTGAGTGTTAGTAAAAAAATGATTGTGTAATTTCAATATAAGTGATATCCCAAATAATAACATTCAGTCTATAATTATTTTGTACTGTATACTCCAATTTCTTAGAGAAAATATCCGAGAAAGAGAACAGGTGAACATATACGTATTCAGGGTGATGCTAAGATGATAACACTGGGTGTGATAGTCAGTAGCTGTAGTCGAGTGGTTGCTGGACGGGTACTCTCTAGTTACACTATCTCGAAAGCACTGGTAATACAGTATATGCGCTAGTTCATTTATCAGTTTGTCTATTTGAAATGGCAATTTTATATTTTCAGTTCTAATTGGGAAATGAATCTGGGATGTACCCCGACTTACGACGGGGTTAGGGACCCAAATCCAGGTCGTAAGTCCGATATGGTCGTAAGTCCGATATAGATAAATAAAAAATCTACAATGAAATACAGTACAGTAAAAGTAATGAATAATGATGAATGGATACAGTACAGTGAAAGTAATAAATAATAAGGAATGGATACAGTGTGACTGAGCACTTAACCTTTAATGTAGTCAGCTGAATGCACATGGGGCCCCCATAATTTTCTAATTATACATGGAGACTACATTAACTGGAAACGTTTCGGTATAGAAAATGCGTGTGGATATCTGAGGCGGTCGTAAGTCCCGACGGTCGTAAGTCCACGTAGTCGTAAGTCGGGGTCTAGGTGTATATATTTTTTATTCGGTAATATATTTTTTAAATCACTCGGCGTGCCATGGTCAACCTCCTCGTGTGCCAGTAGAGAGATAAGTAAGAGCAAAGGTGATTTAAGTGAAGGTGAATATGGAGGAAATGGAGAAGTGACTGTGGTGGGAGATGGCTTAGAGTAGGTTAAATCATGAAGTAATTGTGAACTGGAAATAGTGTAGCATAGCATTGTCATTATGAGGTCTTGTGAGATAAAATATATTGTTTATGATCGCCATAAATTTGATTTGGAGTAAAAACTTATTTGATAACTGTGCATTGGTTGGAGTGTGTTTGGCACAGGAAGGAGTGTTGTAAAGGGCAAGTATTAGTGCATTGTGTGGGAGAAAGAATATATTGGGTGCAAGTAGGAGTATGTTGGGTACAAATAGGAATATGTTGGGTGCAATGTGGGAATGAAGGTATAGGAGGCATACTGGTGGGCAGTGCATTGTACATTTGAAATATTTTATTTACTTACAGCACCAAGGTCGGCATATCGGGCAATCGAGGGTCTCGTCCTCCTCGGAAGCGTCGGCGAAAGGAGATAGATCTGAGAGATTCGGGCTTCCACCACACCTTTGTGATGCGGATGTTCGACCGCAGCGTAGACCTGGCCCAGTTTGACGAGACATCGCCCCTGTATCCTATATGTCGTGCGTGGATGATCAACCAGCCACATAACTCCAGTCTCAATGTCAAGTAAGCTATCATCATCACCATCTTCCTTATACAGCCATTTCCAATGCTTGTGTCTTTAAATTGTGATTACTTCATGGCAGGTCTTCATGCCATGAGGTCTCTTATCAAGCTCTTAACTCTGTTGAGAGAGGCTGAAAGAGACCACTTAGCATGGAGAGCTGTAAGATATTAATAGATGTAGGTGAAGGAATGAAGGATTGTGTTTTTGTTCCTCTATATAGTACTGTACAGTACAGATACCCCGGGACACTAGAATGAAATTAGAGACGTTATTTTGTTTAGTCAAAAAATTTATGTCATACACTTAACTTATGTTGATCTGTAATACATGTACATATATTTAGTAATTATAAAAATGTAGAAAGTTTATTTAGAAGTTATAGATATAAAAGGAAAATTCAGTTGAATAACAAAGTAGACAGATTGATAGATTTTCATCGCTAAATTCATCATAAAAGTTCCATTTGGCTTTGTTTGTACAGTGCAGTACCGTACTGTACTGTACTGTACTGTACTGTACTGTACAGTGCAGTACTGTACTGTACTGTACTGTACTGTACTGTACTGTACTATACTGTACAGTGCAGTACAGTACTGTACAGTGCAGTACTGTACAGTGCAGTACTGTACTGTACTGTACACATTAATGAGATAAAGGGAATATGAGTGTTGGAGACACAACCAGCATCCTGGAAGGGGAAAGTAGAGGAGAATGTACAGTAATATGAAGGCATCAGGGGAATGGATCAGTCTAGATTAAGTAGCCTAGTGGGTTGTCTGTCTTGACCACCTGTATGTTGTTTCTGAGGGCACTGTACATTAAATCTGAGGTGTATACCTTACTGCTCCTCATAAGCTCTTTGTACAATATTTGCTGGAATCAGTACTTCACAGTGAGAAGAAAAACTACAATACTGTACCTGTACACTAAAATGAAAATATTATTTGTCCAACTAGTGAAGCTGTATTTCAATGTCAGTTTTCTATACAGGGGTTTCCAGGTTACGAACAGGTTCCGTTTCTGAGGATGTTCTTAGTTGAAAATGTACGCAAGTCGAAACACATGCTATGTCATACTGTACTTACAGAATAATGTTTAATATCCCACTATATCATAGCCTAAGTCCTTATATACATCTAAAATCACTTAATTTAACAGAAAAAAAATTGAATGACAAAATGCAGAAAATGAAAGTAAAAAATAAGTCACTAGATAAATAAAATATTGTAAATTTAAGTTTAACCTCGTTCGTAATGGCGGTCGTTTGTAAGTCGGGTACCTCCTGTATTGTGTATGTAAATTAGTTAAGTTTTTTATATTATATTTATTATGATATCATGAATAATTATGGCCAATTTCTGTACTTGCATTACCCGATGGCAGCTCTCCATATTGCATGGTCTCTTGCAGTCTCTCTTGTCAGGTTCTTAACAATGTCATATCTTACAACCTCTCCCCATGTCATTCTTGGTGTTAATAATGTAGCTTTTACCTAGTGCAGTACAGTACAGTATACTATTGTTATTCATACACACACCAACAACAAAATTTATTTCTACTAGTGTACATTTACTGTACAGTACATACACTCTGAGATAAAAGTAAAAAGTTTAGCCATGTTTGTGGAAACTCCACTGTACTTTGGTTTACAATATTTAATGTGCCTTTCTAATAGAATATTTTGTTGATTCCCTTAGTTAAGAACTAGTTATACAATGAACAACTTTGTCTGTATCGACTCATTGTGTTATCAGGGGTGTGATTTCTCCGTTTTTTCCCATTGTTTTAGGCGACCCACGTGAATTGCAGAGATCACTGAGAAATATTTTTTGGGAGGAGGAGGAGGAGGAGGAGGGGAGGGGGATGACCGTGATGAGAGAAATGTTTGACAATAAATCACCATTATTGACCCTCTAAGGTCGATGGGCTAATTTACTGACTCTGCTGCACTCTACATGTTCATGCATTACATCATATACTCTATTTCTCGCTGGCTGAGTATTGCTTGTTTTGTATTACATTCTTCGATTCTTTAATATTTCATTGACCAAAGATTGATGATGTCATACAATGCCACTCACTATATTAGAAGCATTATAATATGCCCCTCCACCCTATCCACTTGATCCACCCAGGCAGGGGAGGGCTAAGCAATTGTCTATAATAATTTTACACTTTCTGATGATCACAGTTTATTCTATAACCCATGCCATATTTCATAGTTGTATCGGCAACTCAGTAGGGTGTGTTGTGTCCCCCAGGAGTCAGGGGTGTAGGGCATGTGTGTGTGTGTGTGTGTGTTCCCCAGGAGGTCAGGGCTGTAGGGCATGGGTGTGTGTCCCCCCGGGAGATCAGGGCTGTAGGGCATGTGTGTGTGTGTATCCAGGATACACTTTTTGACTTGTCAGAAAATTGTAGCATTATATTTGGAATACAGTACAGTATTCCCTTAAAGCTCACTGGGGTTAGGTAAAATGGATCCCGTGAGAAAGTAAAATCTGCTAGTTTTTCATGCCAGTTCCATGAGTGTGCAAAATACATATACATTATATATGCATAAGACACATAATAGATTTGAAATGACATAAATAAATAAACATAAACATAAAATAACACTGTGTGGACATTAGGTCCACACAGTGACAGTTAGTAGTGACAATGTAAAGACAATACTTCTGAAGCATCAGCTGATCTGGTGCACAGTATGCAAACAATCCCTGTACTGGACAGCTCCTAGTGAACATGCCCGGTACCAATAAGTATTTGATATGTATACTGTAGGTACCAATGCATATAATTATATCCTTTTGTGTTAAATTGGGTGAATTTTATTAATTATACAGTACCAACAAATGTTTGATAATAGGCCCATAAAGTGATAGTGAGTTGTGGTAGTGAGAAACATGATAGCATATAGCCTGTGGTTTGGCTTTGCCAGTACAGTGGGCTATTAAATCTGCAAAAATTATTTTTCCCAAATACCCTGGTATACCTTGCTAATTATAGGGTACATCTTATGACCTGGGACATATGGTGCCCTGTAGTGTTGAGTCCTCCTGATCCCTGGCTCACAGCCTTAGATATATTTTATTTATTTTCCGTGAGTGTCCGAGGGACGCAAACTTTAATACCGTGAGCTTTAAGGGAATACTGTATTATAATGCATCACAAGGATCATGTATTCATGTTGGTTGTGAATTAAAATCTTACAATATTTGTTTACCTCAGACAGGAGCCATGCAGCCCCAGCACAGAGATGTTCAACAGCACCGAGGGTAGTCAAGATGGAGACTTTGTCACAGAGATCTTGTCTGATGGTCCTCCCAATGCTGCTTTCAGCAACAAGATGCCCTCCCCAGAACCGTGGTCAGCTGAAATGACACAGAAAGACCCAAGGATCCCTGAAGTGCTTCCACATCCCCCCAACAGGCTCAATGAAATTAATGTAAGAAAACTTTTATGTACACTATGAGAATGAAGTATCTTTCTAGACTTGGCTGAAGTATAATAAACCTGACTACCCAACACTGTGAATGGTGTCAATGGCGACCCCTTTCCAAGGTTCCACAGGTCTGCCAACTGTTTATGGGTTCCAGTTGTGTTTGTTGAATGGCTCAACCATTGTGCAATGTTTTCATCAAAACCCGGGAAGATACTTCATTCTCTCAATGTACTTACCATTGGATTTCTGGGACTTGGTGGGTGGCTTCAGATGAGGCATAGAGTAAATAGTGGAGCTATTATTATTATTATTATAATTATTATATTATTATTTAAAGTTTTCAGGCATTCTTCTGCTATAAGTTTAGAAATAAAATCAGATACAGAAATCGTATCTTCTTTTATATTTTGTCATTCATTCATTCTTGCTGGACCTTGCTGGTGTTATAGATGAGGTCTGCTGTAGCAGAAACTTCTATGGATTGGGAAGAGACCTGTTTGCTTGTTGACTTCACTAATAAGCTCAGAATTCATAAAGATCTTGAGTCCAGTAGATCAGTGATCTGTTAACATTTGACCTCCTTGGCCTGGTAACAGTGGCAGTGTTCAGTTACTTCAGTGTGTGGAGAGTGTGTCAGCTATACCGGGTGACATCAAAGTTTTGGTTCAAAGGTGTCAGGTTATTGACCGACATTGTTCACAAAGTCCACAGGATCCAGAGGCCCACAAAATTCATTATACAAAGCATAAAAGGTTTATTTACTTACTGAACACAAGTAAGAAATGTAAAGTGTTCTAGTACACCATGGAAAATTAAAGAGAACTGTAGTCATGAAGAAAATTACACACGGAAAAGTGAAGAAAGAAGCATAACACAGCCTTTATGTTTCTGACTGACTCAGAGACCCACAGATTCAGCAGTAGTACTAGAAGATGGTTGTGCTCATTAACCAACAGCTTGGAGAAATTTTTACATAGAAAATACGTAAATGTTTTCTCTCCTCAAGAAAAGCCCCAAAAGTTGGAAGGAATAAATGTTTTGTAATACTGTTTTAACAGATGTTTTCCACGAATGAACCTTTTCCATTCAGAATGCACTCTATTTATGTCAACCCTTTGTTGCCTGTCTTCCAGCCAGTTGTTAATCCCTGACATGGACATCGTCCACCGTAGCCTCCTCAGTCATCAAGACTAAATCTAGAATGTTGTCTATCCTCATGTGTTCTGATACTTGTTGTGTGAGGAATGAATCTTGAATAAGGAATTATTCTTCCTTAGCTTGTGTGGGAAGGTTCTTCCTGTCTATTGTCTTGTGATTAAAATCTCCCATTATGAGATCTTGTGCTCTGAATACTGTCTGGATGACTCTGATGCAGAGTCAACTTTATAGCTCCCACTTACTGTCAGCTTGCTTTTGCATTGACCTATCACATAACACCAAAGAGACTCAGATGATTCCATTTTGTTTCGTTCATCAATAAGGGTTGCTATCAGGTGCTCCTTGATATACAGTAGTACACCATTACCTCTTGTAGCTCTGTCCTTTCTGAACGGTGGGTATTATCCTGGTAAATAAAATTCATCCTGTGACAAAGCTTCTGCTCGACCCCAGGACTTGCTGATCCAAATAATGTCTGATTGATTTGTGTCTTCATAATGTGCTCAATACTTCAGTCTTATTAACAGACTTCTGGCATTCATGTACCAACACTCGATTGGTCCAGTTTCTAATATTGTTGTCTTTGAAAGTCGAGAGTCTTGTGGGTTAGGAGAATCAATCTTAAGTATCACTTGAGTTTTCTCTCTGGGTTAGTATTGTTATTTAAATCTACAGCATGCACTGTTAACATTATTTACAGGTACAGGTATCCCTTGTTTAGCGATGGGGATGCATTCATGAAAAAATTTAACATTAAGCGAAATTATTGCTAAATGAGGGATGACGAGGAATAATTTCAGTGAAAGAATCATTACAGTATTCTCTAATGTGGCTTTGTCACTAATTTTTCAAATATAATTTTGGGTAGATAAATATAATTTTATTTTATTTATTTTTTCACTCTACTACATGCACACACATTCGTTCATACAGAATGTGCAAAAACAAATAAAATAAATAATTTTCATAAGGTAAAAAACATCAAGGGAATAAAAAAAATGTGTGGGGGAGTTATCACACAGAGTGGGGGAGGAGGGAGCAGCGTGGGTGTTCTCAGCTGTTCGCTGTCTTATCTCCTACGTGTAGTGAAACAATTGCCAAATGGCAATCAGTATTTTTGTCTTTTATTTACTTATTATTATTTTTATTTATTCCTCATAATTACTGGTACAGTATACATGTGACACTCAGCTGGGTAGTTACCAAGAAACGTGCGTAACTGCTGCCTGTATGCCGTGACAGCACATACTGTAGTGGGGAGGAAGAGCGTGGCTGGCCACAGTTACAATGCTCACTGCCTCAGTGTACAGGTTCACTTCCCACACACACACACACCCATGCTCTTTATATTTCTTATATCATTGTTTTATATTATAATTTCTTTATTTCTAAGCCACATTAGAGTACAGTATTGCAGTGATTTTTCCCACAAGATTTATAGTATCATTACATGTAACAAAGGCAACACACCATCTCACAGGTCCACCTCCTCTCTGGTTTTTCTCCCATCATAGAGAGTCAAGTTATCACTAAACTGAATTTGGACCAAATATTCAATAAGAAAGGGTGTTAAAAATTTTATATCACCAAACCGAATTATCGTTAAGTGAATTACCTTTAGACGTGGGATACCTATACAGTGTATTCTTGATACCTTCAATTATGGGGTCAATTATGAATTGAATTGGAATTGATTAAAAAAAATCCGTGAATTGGAATTGAAAAAATACAAATTTAAAATTAATTGAATTGAATTGGAATTGATATCAATGAATTGATGTGAATTGATAAAATAATATATTATACTGTAATATGCATCTTCATTATTTTGGAATAATTAACTTATATTCATATAAAAACTAAAATATACAGTCAGCTAGCACAAAAAATATGTTAAAAATATATCAAGTGATGGCATGGCATCTCATGAACGATGGCATGGAGCAAGATGGCCAAATCAAGCAAATTCTTGCAAAAGTATCAAAGCTCGTCAGCTTCTGCAGGAAATCAACAATGGCTGCAGAAGTGCTCTCAAATGAATTCAAGCTCCAGATGGCAACATGTACACGCTGGAATAGCCAGTTGGCGATGATGAGGTCAGTACTTCGAGTTTCACCTGAAGTGTGGGACAAACTTGACACTCCCTACAAGGTGAAGCAGTATGAGCTGAACACCATCAAGGAGCTCTGTGATATACTCCAGCCATTTGAGTATGTGACTCATCAGATTCAGGGACAAAACATGGTGACATGTAGTCTGGTAGTTAACTGTGTTTGTGGTCTTGGGGCTGCTTTAGCTAGTCTTCATGAAGTGTATAAAAGCAAGCTTGTTTCTGTACTTCAGTCCTCAACAGAGACTCGCTTTCCAGCTAGCTGCCACCTTAGACCCGCGTTACAAGCTGGACTGGTGTCATGACTATGACAATGAAGTGCAAGACATTCGTGAACTTCTGACTGTGAAATACAATATGGCACGCAGTGTTGATCCTACAACAAGAGACACTTCCCCTGCTGAACCACCACCGATGAAGAGGAACAAGTTCTTTGCCCTGGCCAACTGGTCTTCTACACCAAGACCAACTCCATCACTGAGGTCTCACTCTACCTCAACCAGCCATGTCTACAGGAAGATGGTGATCCCCTTGGCTACTGGAAGGCCAAGCAACCTGAGTTTCCTGTCCTCACCAGACTTGCAGCAAAGTACCTGGCCATTCCTGCTACATTGGCTCCTGTGGAACGGCTGTTCTCCATTGCTGGCAAGCACTTCGGGTCAGAGAGGTGCAATCTTAGCGATAAAAGATTTGAGCAACTTATGATGATCAGATGCAATCCTCAATAACTTGGACTCATTCATATTTTGTTTACTATTACAAAGAATTAAACCATTTGAACTTTTGGTTGGTAAAGAATGTGATTGGTTTGTGTGGTAGAGCATTTTTATAAAAAATAAAAAAGTTAATTTGAAACCTCAAATTTTTATTTCTTTCCATTAGATTAATGGTAGATTAGAATTGATTTTGAATTGAAAAGCATTTGAATTGAATTGAATGAAATATCGACCATAATGAATTGATTTGAATTGGAATTGATTAATTCAAATTTTATTCTGAATTTGAATTGAATTGACGAAAATGAATTGACCCCCATCTCTGCATGGTGATATTGTAGTGTGTTCATTTCCAAATACATAAGGCCTTGGGGGGTAATTTTTGGGGAGAGAGTGCATATTTCGATAACCAGGTAACTGATTTGCACTCTACAGTGGTCCCTCGGTTAACGAGCGCCTCAGTTAACGAGTTACCTTCCATAAGATTCTTAACTTCGGTTAACGAGCAATCCCTCGATTAACGAGTTTCTTACGAGCCAACCTCAACATGTTTTCGCTTGCATTTGGCGGTCCACCAGCTGTAGCATTAGTCCGCCAATACAGTAATCGGTTCTAGGGCTTATATTCCTAACCATTTTAGTAAATATCAAGAAGTTTATACTATTCAATAATTTTAAAAGTTTAATATTATATTTTTTAGTCATTTTAACAATTATTGAACATAATTGAAGGTAAAGAAATTAGTTTTATGTATGCCATCCAGCCTCTCAACACACCATACAGGCATCAGTCTCTGTCTTTTCACTGGAGGTAACATCTTGCTTGAGACTCTCTTCAACTCAACGCTTTTTTTCTGTGTTTGCAAGCAAATTATTGGTCATTTTGAAATTTATTTTACATATTGACAATATATAATGCAGTGCAGTGTTGATTTAAAGAAAATAATCTTGAATTACACCAAGAGAACTAAAATTTTATGGGTGAAATGGTGCCATGGGGTGACTTCTCTTCCACCCCAATGCCTTCTCTTCTCCCTTCTCCTCCACCCCCATTCTAAGTCCCATCATCATCATCCAGGAGCCTTTTACATACACACCTCAAAGTAAGTGTACTTTTCTACCTTTTTTGTTGAATTTAGGCAATTTTCGGTGAGCTGGAACCAATTACCCAAAAACCCATTGAAACAATGGTTTCGGTTAACGAGTTTTTCGGTTAACGAGCAACCTTCTAGAACGGATTGTGCTCGTTAACCGAGGGACCACTGTATAGTTATGCTGTCAATGGAAATACATTTACTTGTAACAAGGAGACGAGGGCAATAGGGTACCGTATGCCTGCTAATTATAGTTGTACTATGTGACATACACCCAGTCCTCGCTTAATGTTGTGGTTACGTTCTTGTAAAAAACAACGTTAATGGAATAAATTTTCCCCTTAAGATATACAGTGATATCCCAGTTAGCCGGAACAATTGGTGCAGAGCACTTCCGGCAATGAGAGATTTCCGGGTAATGAGACGACTCTCTCAAAGCCGGAAAAAATCCCTCATCCCAGTAATTTTCCGGGTAAAGGCAAAATTTTCTCGGAATTTCCAGAAAATGCGCCTGATTTTCATGTCTCAAACCCAGAAAAAAAACTCTCCCCGTCCCCGGAATTTTCCAAATGTATATAGAATTTTTTAATTATTTTTTTTTTTTTTTTGTGACATCAGATTTTTGGAGAATCGAAACATGGAATTTCTAAAAAATATAATTTGGATTTTTGTAAGCCAGGATTGCCTGTATTTATAAATACTGTATAATACTAATGACATTGTGCATTTTTTAATTTGTCTTGCTGACAAGTTTGCATTTTGGTAAATGTTGTTCAGTGTCTCTTGTCTCATTTTTTGTTGGAAAGTACAGTACAGTGCAGGATAGTACTATGTCTACAAAAATTATAATTGTTAAAGTACAGTGTTCCCTCGGTTAACGAACACAATTCGTTCCAGAAGGTCGTTCATTAACCGAAACCATTGTTTCTATGGGATTTTGGGTAATTGGTTCCAGCTCACCGAAAATTACATACAAAGTAAAAAAAAATGCAGTAAAGTACACTTACTTTGAGGTGTGCATGTAGAAGGCTCCTGGTTGATGATGATGATGATGATGGGAATTAGAAGTGGGGGTGGAGGAGAAGGGAGAAGAGAAGGAAGTGGGGGTGGAAGAGAAATCACCCCATGCTTCATGCCGTCATTTCACCCATAAAATTTTAAGTTCACTAGGTGTAATTCAAGATTATTTTCTTTAAATCAACAATGCACTGCACTACAGTATTACCCCGCCTAACGCGGTTTCACTTAGCGCGTTTTACCATATACGCGGTGCCTCGCCAGAGCTGAACTTTCACTTAACGCGGGTTTTTTCCACATATACGCGGTGAGTGTCCGGCTCGAGAGCTATTTTTAGATTCGCCCGACCCCCCACCCTGCCTGACTGCCTGTTGTAGCTCATAAAATTCATACAAATTACCCAGCCAGAATATAATTTACATTGCTGGAATTCTTATAATTTGGTGATCATTTTGAATATAAACATCATAGATTTTGCATTAGACATACAAATTTTAGATGTAAAGTTTATTCTGAGTAAATATGTTATCTTTTGTGAAAAATATATGACATTTATATTCAAAATATTCCTGGTCTTACAAGGAATCCAGCAATGTCAATTATATTATCCTAACTTTAGTTTGAGGTATTATTTATTACTAAAAGGTAAATATTCTGGTTTTCCCACACATCTGGTGAGACGGTTGGTGGGGGGTGGGGGGGAGGGAGGGACCGACCGACCATCTGTTACAGTGAAGAATATTTTTTTTTTTTATTAACTGAAGATATTTGTTTTAGCTCATAAAATTCATACAAATTACCCGGTCAGAATATAATTTACATTGCTGGAATTCTTATAATTTGGTGATCATTTTGAATATAAACATCATAGATTTTGCATTAGACATACAAATTTTAGATGTAAAGTTTATTCTGAGTAAATATGTTATCTTTTGTGAAAAATATATGACATTTATATTCAAAATATTCCTGGTCTTACAAGGAATCCAGCAATGTCAATTATATTATCCTAACTTTAATCTGAGGTATTATTTAATACTAAATGTTAAAAACTCTTGAAGGGAGGATTGGTGGGGGGTGGGGGGAGGGTTGGGACTGACCGCGCGGTTGGAAGAGGGGGGGAGGCAAGGTGGGGTACTTTGATTGACAGATAGTGTCGTGAAGAATATTTTTTTTTTTATTAACTGAAGATATTTGTTTTAGCTCATAAAATTCATACAAATTATCCGGCCAGAATATAATTTACATTGCTGGAATTCTTACAATTTGGTGATCATTTTGAATATAAACATCATAGATTTTGCATTAGACATACAAATTTTAGATGTAAAGTTTATTCTGAGTAAATATGTTATCTTTTGTGAAAAATATATGACATTTGTATTCAAAATATTCCTGGTCTTACAAGGAATCCAGCAATGTCAATTATATTATCCTAACTTTAGTTTGAGGAATTATTTATTACTATACCTGGTTTTCCCCCCAAAATTTCTCAGAGGGAAGAGCCAGCGAGTGTAGTGTGAGAAGAGGGGGAGGGAGTCGAGTCCATTATTTGAATGGACATTAACTTGGCGACTGTATTTCTCTATTTCTCTTAAGTATTAATTGTGTGCATGTACCATCATAAAATTAAGATGTTATTTTTACTAGAACATAGGTATTGTGTCGGAAAAAGTGGAGTTTGGGGATGGGCCAGTTTCTATTGGAATTAATCCCATATGTTCTGTTGTTCACTTAACGCGGTTTTCACTTAACACGGTACCCTGTGGGTTTTATTGACCGCGTTAAGTGGGGTACAACTGTATATATTGTAAATATGTAAAATAAATTTTAGAATGACCAATAATTGTACTGTAAAAACGTAAAAATAGTTTATGTTCAAGAGAGCCACAAGCAAGATGTTACCTCCACTGACCAGAGATACAAACTGACGCCTTGCTGGGTGAGTCAAGTGGCTGATTGGCGCACCAAAAACTAGTTTCCTGTACTGCAATTATGTTAAATAAATGTTAAAATTACTAAAAATTTGAATATAAATTTTGGAAAATTATTGAATAATACAACCTTCTTGATATTTACTCAAATGGGAACGAATTTAAGTCCTAGAACCGATTACTGTATTGGCAGACTAATATTCCAGCTGGTGAGCAAGCGAAAACATGTTGACATGATTTAGTAAAAATTTCGTTAACCGAATTTTTGTTTGTTAACCGAATTGAAGATTCTTATGGAAGGTAATTCGTTAACCGAAATTTCGTTAACCGAGGGATCACTGTAATACTGTATACCAATCGAGGTTTGTGGCATGAATCAACTCACAGGCAGTTTACAACTCTCTTAACAATATATGATAAAGATAATTTCAGTACTGTACAGGGAAATAGGAAGACTGAAAGTTTTCCAATAGGACCACAACAACAGTAGTATTAAGGAAACTTGATATAATAAACCCACTTGACTCTTGTTACTCTACATTATCTTGTGTTAAAATTATATAAAACCCATCAAACTTTTACTTCAACTGAGACTTTTCTCTTCTACAGGAGTGTGAGACAACCTCAACAAGTTTGTTACTGACTGAGCACCTCAAGAGATGGAGACAAATTCGTAATCTGTGGAGGAATTGTGCGAAAGTCAATGATCAACGTTACCAAGGCTCATACACCATATTGAAGGCTATGTTTGACAGGTAAAGCACCAACGTCTGTTATCATGCATATTATTTGTGTATATTATAAATGTTGCATGTACTGTATTGAGTGACGTTAGTGTTGTTCACTGTTGGACACTACCTTATATTCTGTTGGTCATGTTTTTCCTTGGTGAATCCAACATACTGTATATCTGACCCTAAGGCTGTGTCATATCCTCTCAACGATTAGAGTGAAAATGACATTGACTTGTATCATGTATAACTGTATGCAGTATACTTGTCCTCCATTTGCTGGCATCCTTTTGTGTGTGTGTGTGTGTGTGTGTGCTCCCAGATGAGTGCCAGCTCACAGAACAGGGGTCTGGCTATACCTTCTTCTCATGACACTTAGAGTCCCACTGAATCACTCACGTCATGGCTTCTTCATCAGTGCATATGCCCCAACACTGGATGCAGAGGATGACATCAAGGAGGCCTTTTACGCCGACCTCGACAGAGTGCTAACCTCTATCCCCTGAAAAGATAAGGTTGTGCTCCTTGGTGACTTAAATGCCAGAGTTGGCAGAGATGCTGACATTTGGCAGGGAACCATAGGGAGAAATGGACTAGGCAGGTGTAATGCCAATGGCCTGCTCCTCCTCAGCAAGTGTGCTGCACACAACCTCACTATCACCAATACCTTGTTTAGGCAGGCTGACACGTTCAAGGGTTCGTAGCAACACCCACGATCCAAACACTGGCATCTCATTGACTATATCATTGTCAGAGAAAGAGATCGCCGAGATGTCCTCATCACCCGTGCCATGAGTGGCTCAGACCACTGTGACACTGATCATCGATTTGTCAGAGCCAAGCTCTCACTCCATGTCGCCCCAAAACGGCGAAGGTAGCAAGCCTCCAGAAGAGGTTTTAATACGAAGTGTCTGGAAGACCCAGCAGTAGCACATGCTTTCAGAGAGCAGCTCGAATATGGGCTTATTAACAACACAACAGCAAACAACGCGAATCCCAGTGCCGATTGGGATACTCTTAATACTGTTATGACAAAGACCTTAAGAGAGAGACCCTCGGCCAGACCAAAAGAATACATCAGGACTGGTTTGATGAGAATGACCCGGCAATCACTGTACGAGGTCTGTCCAAAAAGAAACCAAACTTTTTAAAAAACAAGTTTATTGCTTTACTTACAACTTGTCTCCTTCAGTACTCCCCTCCACTGTTGATACACCGCTCCCAACTTTTTTACAGTTCTGGAACGTGTTTTGAGGGATGGTGTGCAGGTCTCATAGCGAATTTTCTTCTATCCCTTCTATCGTTTGAAATCGGCAACCGTTCAGGGTGGATTTCAACTTTTGGAAAAAAAAAGTCCGCAGGGGCCAAATCCGGAGAGTAGGGCGGCTGGGGATGATAGTCGTCTCGTGCTTCACCAAAAAGTCACAGATAAGGAGCGACGCGTGAGCAGGTGCATTGTCATGGTGCAGCATCCAGGTCTTGTTTGTCCACACCTCAGGCCTCTTCCTTCGCTCTGCCTCCCTCAAACGCTTCAGGACCTCCAAGTAAAACTCTTTATTGACTGTCTGACCACGTGGAACAAACTCATGATGAACGACGCCCTTCCAACCAAAAAAGACGATCAACATCACCTCTACATTTGAGCGACTCTGACGTCCAGATTTGGGATCGTCTTCGGTGGATGTTCTTCCCCTTTTGAAACGCTGGTACTGTACCGCACGTGACATTGCGTACAGCTCAAACAATCCTCCTCATAAGCCTGTTGCAACATTTGAAAAGTTTCCTTAAAAGTTTTTCCCAGTTTGAAACAGAATTTCACGCAAACACATTGATCTTCAAGATCCTTCATTGTTGAACTTGCAACAAAGCGCCATGTGCACTAAACACACGTTCACTCTAGCACGTGCAGCTCGATGACTAATTGACGTGGCGTGATGCGGCTAGTGTTAGACTGAAGGTCAAGGTCACCGCTACACAGTGCTCCCGTTGCGAGCACTCTGCGCCGGCTCGTTGGCGCGCTATTTAGACAGTTCGGTTTCTTTTTGGACAAACCCCGTACTCATCGATAGTTTAAAAATAAATCACGTGAAACACAAAAAAATTGCAGATCGACACAAGATGCACAAATTTTTCAATTCCATTAAAACACTTTATGGGCCAGTCACTCATGGTACAGCCCCCCTCCGCTCATCTGACGGTAACTTCATAATTAAAGACAAAGAAGGCATCCTTCAGCGCTGGAAAGAGTACTACCATTCACTGCTCAACCGAAAAACCGATGTGGATATCCTGACTACCCAGCGGGTCTCTCAGCATCCAGAGCTGACCCACCTCAGCTATCCTCCATCCCTGGATGAGGTAGTTACCACCATCAAACAGATGAAAAATAACTTGGCCTCAGGGCCTGATGGAATCCCAGCCAAGGTGTATACTGGTAAAGCAGGAGGACCTCTACTTACCAGCCGTCTCCACTCTCTCCTGGAGAATATATGGGAAAAGGAGGAAATTCCCCAAGCTCTTAAAGACACCTCCATTGTCAATATTTATAAGAACAAGGGAGGCCGGCAAGATTATCGCGTGAGTCCTCCTAAACAGACTCCTTCCTGAGATGAAAAACTTCCTCCCATAATCTCAATGTGGTTTTAGACCATCATGTGGCACCACTGACATGATCTTTGTTGCCCACCAGATACAGGAAAAGTGTAGAGAACAGTGTAATGAGTTGTACAGTCTCGTTCAAGATTCTTCTAACACTGCTGGAGACAGCTGGCAACTCACCGCTGTTTATTTACTATAGTACGTAGTATATTATAATACGAAACAACAAAGCCCTACCATTAAATTAAGCAACGGGAAACTAATTAACCAATCGCCGATCACTTTTACATGTATTCATAATTTTTACGACATACTATAGGAAACAAACGGCCTTGAGTTTCCAGCTGTCTCCAGCAGTGTTCGAAGAATCTTGAACGAAACTATACATGGCTTTTATCGACTTAACCAAGGCCTTCGACTCGGTCAACAGAGAAGCCCTCTGGTAGACCCTCAGCCATTTTGGCTGCCCACCAAAATTCATCGCTATTGTGAGGCAACTCCACGATGGCATGAACGGCAGTGCCCTGCAAAATGACACCCAATCTGAGTTCTTTCCCATCCAAACAGGGGTTAAACAAGGGTGTGTACTGGCACCAACTCTCTTTTCCATTTTCTTGGCTGCCTTCCTTACTCGTGCCAGTGCCAATTTAGCCGGCGGGGTGGACATCGAGTACTGGATGAAGGGTCTTTTCAACATAAGACGACTCCAGGCAAGAACAAAGGTGTGTACAGCTTCCATTACTGAACTTCAGTGCGCAGACGACTTCACCCTTGTTGCTCACACTGAACACGACCTACAGGAGATCCTGAACACCTATGTAGATGCGTATGCACACTTCGACCTTGAGGTGAATGTATGTAAGACTCGGATTCTCTTTCAACATGCCTCTGGTTCAGCCACACCTCCATCATCCATCCAGCTTTACGTTACTACCCTCTCTAATGTTATTGACTTTCGATATCTCGGCTCCCACCTGTCCACCACCGTAGTCATTGATGAAGAGATTCAACATCGGATCAGATGTGCATCTCAAGCCTTTGGCAGACTCCGAAACTGTGTCTTCAGCTGTAAGGAGCTGAAATTATCTAAAAAGCTGCTCGTATATCGAGCAGTGGTCCTCCTCACCCTGCTATATGGCAGTGAGACATGGGTCACATACAGGAGGCACCTCAAGGCACTTAAAAACTTTCACCAATGTAGTCTACGTTCCATCCTCTGAGTTTGCTGGGAAGACAAGAGAACAAATGCCAGTATTCTTGCTGACACCAACTGAAGGAGCATCGAGGCTACCATTATCCACGAACAACTACGTTGGACTGGCCATGTTACCCACATGGACGACAGCAGACTGCCAAAGCAGCTACTTTACAGTCACCTAACGAATAGTAAACGTAACGCTGGCGGGCAACTGAAAAGGTATAAGGATAGTCTTAAGACAAACCGGAAAAAGTGCCAAATCGACCCCCTTACCCGGGAGATGATATCTGTGCATCAGAATGCTTGGAGGAGCACCACACAAGAAGGTGTCAATACTTTCGAGTTAACCCGACTGCAAACCGAGGCAGACAAGCGCCAACGCCGGAAAGACGCTGCCACCGCCCCTCCCACAGTAGATGGAGCCCTCCACATGTGCAACGAATGTGGACGATGCTGCGGGTCCCGGATCGGCCTCTTTAGTCTCCTCAGGACTCACTAACCTAGGTGACATCCCTAATAACTCCTATCATTTGTCTCATAGCTGGATGATCGTCATACTTGATTCCGAATGACAGCAAAGTTTTGTGTGTGTGTGTGTGTGTCTCCTCAGACTCTCCAACATAAGAGCTGTACAGATCATGAGAGCTGTACAGATGGTCACTGGCTAAATGTTTAGGAAGAATTCTTCATGTGGCTTTACATTACGTTTTTGAAGGAACAAAACCTAAATAATGCTCACAAATATGACTGCAGTACTGTATAATATGTTCAGTAGAGAGTGCTATTGTTCAAGTTATTAAAAAATTATCTAAAATTTTACAGTACAGTATAGTATATTTGTCTCTCACTGACAGGTATGTACAGCATACACACTGTTGATTTACCTTTAATAAAGCAATATTATTTATTGAATCTCAAAACTTTACTGCTGGAGAAGACCTTCCCTTCTAGTAATCTTATACAGCCACTGACTTTAACACCAAATAAGGAAGCTGTATTTATTTGGAGAATGTCACTCATTTTATCAAAGCCTTTTACTAATGCATTATTATGTCTATTGCAGGGTTCATGAAGGCTGAACCAGTGTTATGTGACAGGTATGAGAAGTAAAGTCTTTTGTATTTTGGTTAGAAGAACTAACGAGCTATGAACTCTCATTGATAATCTAGTACTAATGTATTTAAATTCTTTAAATCTTTGAAAGTTAGGTTAACTATTTTTAAAAACACAGTTGAGTTTACAGCAAGTGAAAACTTTTTAATTTGGGGGAAGAATTCGTGTACAGTACTGTATTAAACAGCACAGTAAAATTATGCACTTGTGATCTCAGTATTTTTTGAGACAAGTACAGTACAGTACTGTACAGTAATGTGGTTTAGATACTCATTTGTAGATTTGAATTAGTCAGTCATGGAATTTAGTGCGTCATTCACACTTGAATTTGATTTAGTAAGGTAATTGAGCAGTCATATGTGGATTTGATTTACACATTTATTTGAAAATTATTTACAGTACAGTACTTATTTACTGTACATCTGAATTTTATTTAGTGAGTCACATGTGAGTTGCATTCAGAAGTAGTGTGTGGTTGCAGGAGTTCACTGATGACTTGTGTTGTAGTTTATTGACTGGTGCAGACCTTGCTTTCTTGAATCACTAGAGTATTATCATAGTACAAGAAGTAAGTTTCAGCAATAAAGGTAATGTAAGGACATTTGTAAACAACTTTTGACGAAGTGAAAAATTTTGGTACTAATTTCTTTATTAGTAATAATGATGAGCTTTAATTGAGGAACACATCCATACAAGGAAGACAGATAATGGGATAATTTAGTGTGTAGTAGTACAGAATATATACAGGATAATGATAAGCTTTTAGGTCGTGTGTTTAGGATTCTGACAATTTTGTAACGAAAGATTGATTACTGGAGTATTATTTCCATAGCAATAGAAGAGCTAGATAAATAATGCACCAGGAAACTGATAGATGTCTTTACCTGAACATATATGTATTGGAAGCTTAAATACAGTAATGAATGAAGTCTGTAGATTTCATTAACTCTGACTACAATGTTTTTATTATCCGCTGAACACAATTACGTATTTTCAAATTCTTGCGAAGTTGTAATCAATTTAGAGATTTAACTATTATTTGTTAAATGCTGTACATGTACTTGTGATGTGTGAAATTGTAGCACAGTAGTAGATTGAATATAATACAGAAGTACTTCGCTATTCGTAACCCAACTTATCCGCAATTAATATCTCAACACCCCCTATTCAATATTCGCAAGGCGTACCCCACATATTTGCAAATTGAAAATTACGATACCTCACTGTAATATTTCAAACTGTGGGGGGGGGCTAGCCACAGCTCTCACATATAAGGCCTGTTTCACACATGAGTAGTTTATAAATTAATGAAGTTCTATGTGACAGAGAATGTGCGGGAGATGCTCACCCAACGCCTGTACATGTACAGTACAGTGAACCCTCAAAGATCCAGACTAAAAGGGGGACCACCTGTCCCATCCTTCTGGTGAATGTACTAAATGTATTAAAACGATAAATAATGATATAAAAAATACCAAAAATGCAGAACATGTTATCCTGACTACTGAGGTTAGTTATACAGACCTTTTTTCCTGTGAAAAAGCCATAATTTTGAGCACCATGTTACTGTACCGTATGTTTTGGCTTGAATGACGCACTTTTTATGACAAAAATATAACTTGAAGATTACCACGCGTCTTCCAGGACGCTAATTGATAGTAGCAGAGGTTTTCTTAGGGTCAACTGAAATCAGCCCCTTACAAAGACTGTTACCTCATTACAGTTCTTAGCAATTTCAGGTTTTCTCTCTACAGTACTATAAAACTATTGATTTAACTAATATTGTTGATATACTGCAAAAAAACAAAATATAAACCCTTGCTGCTATGTGGTTTGTTTACTAATGGCAGAGGTGCGGCAGCACCATCTATTGAGGAGTTGCTAAAGGTTGTCTGCTGGTCTCAAAGCACAGGAATGTTTGTTTCTTCATACGTAGACTCATATTTGGACACCTATTTACAGTAGGCTCTCATATTTGGACACCCATTTAGACTGTAAAAACCTCGCAAAATTTAAATCTTCCAAATTTAAATACAACTTCCTATGGAGAAAATTAATTTGAGTCTGGTACTTTTGATGTTTGGCTAAATTTTGCCTTATTTACCCTACTTTTTGGGCGGATTACTACCTGTAATAAAGCAAAATACTAATAAACCAACGAAAATAACACACATAAAGTTAAATAAAAACTAAAAACAACACAGAAAAGTTCTTATGCTCTACAGCTTCAGCTAGAGTTGAACCTGATGACTTGGCAACTTCGTCATCCGAGTAAAAACACACACAACAACATTGGCTGTCCTTACGTTTTCAAATTTACCATCACTGGTGGGTAGAAATTTTGTTTTAAATTCAGAAACATTAATTAAAGTATATATGAACAGTAAATAAGTGTTGTTTTCATATTCTTATGTAGAGTAATGACGATATGTTTTCACATGTGCTCACTTACAGATGTGATCTCACTTTTTTCTTTACCATTAGTGGTTAGCTACTTTTATTGTTCCATTTATTAACGTTAAATAACATTACTTAAAACAACAATATTAATTTTTTTACATTAATTTTACTACAGATACAACCAGGGTGTTATTTTCTTGTTTTATATGTAGAAACAGTCAGTCACTGGTTTTGTAAACAACGAAAACAATGCCGCCTCGTGTCCTCGTGTGTTTTAATATTCTACGTATTATTAATGAATTGTATTGTTCATTTTGCACACATAAACAATTAATTCAATAAGAAAGACATTCAGTAATAAACTATAATGAAACTTTTGTACATAAGAGAAATGGCGTTGTTTACACGATTGTACACGTCTGAACGTTGGCGGGCCGCTCAAACCCGTCGAAATTCGAGTTTCCACCATCAAAATTTGAAATTGTGTAGTGTTTTTTTTTGTGTCCAAATATAAAATGTCGAATTAAAAACTCGTGAAATTTGAGAACCTACTGTAGGCTGTAAAAACCTCGCAAAATTCAAATCGTCCAAATTTAAATACACCTTCCTATGGAGAAAATTTATTTGAGTCTGGTACTTTCGATGTTTGGGTAAATTTTGCCTTACTTACCCTTCTTTTTGGGCGAATTACTACCTGTAATAAAGCAACATCCTAATAAGCCAGGATTTGAAGATGAATAAAATGCTTTTGACTGTTTTACTGGACATGATATCTAGAAATTTACATTTTTTTGTGGTTTTTATTGTTTTCTTACCAAAAATGTTAATTCAACTGATTTTTACCGAGTTGTTTTTTACTTATATTTTATTTTTTTAAATAAAGATTTTTTGTTTTCTTTAGACGTTGATATACATGTTTACATTTGCTTACCTTCTACTGTTGGAAAATATTTTCCGTCGTTGTCATACCGACAAAAACAAGAGAAAGAAAGTAAACACTACAGCCCACTAGACGGAGGTGACCAGGTGTATAAAATGAGTGCTGTATTAAAGATTTCACCTTCTTATACAGATTTTTTTTTTAAATTGATGAAAATGGCGACTGATAAGCAGTTCTAAGTGATGATATTCACAGAGGTGTGAGTACTTGTGCCAAAAGGGCTGTATATCAAGCAACGGTTTCACTGGTGTCGGTAGTAGGCAGCTACCAAACAGGGAGGTACAGTGGTCCCTCTGTTAACGAACTCAATTCGTTCCAGAGGGTCGTTCGTTAACCGAAACCATTGTTTCAATGGGATATTGGGTAATTGGTTCTAGCTCTCAGAAAAGTATATACAAAGTAAAGCCAAAAATGCATAAAGTCAGAAATACTCCTAAAATTCCCTTAAATCACAATATATATCGTACATATACACTAGAACTCTGAAATCACTATTGTAATGTGATACAGGTGATTAATTTTATCTCTTGTGCAAAATATATGACGTTTATATTCAAATTATTCGCTGTCTTGCAAGGATTCCAGCAATGCACATTATATTCTCCTAAGTTTAGTCTGAGATATTATATAAGATAAACACCCTGGCTGGGCAGATGGGGGAGTGGGAGGTGACGTGATGTGACACTTAGTGCCAGATCTCGAGAAGTATTTTTGTTTATTTAAGCCCATGGTGGGAAGTGGAGTGAAGGAGGAGGCGGAGGGTGGTGAGTCACTGAGACTCAGCAGCTGCCTCCTCCTCCTGCTCTGACTGGGGTTCCTCCGCCGTTGTTTGCTCCTCCTCGGCTGCCGGCTGTTGTGAAGAAGCTGCTTCTGCCGTCCCGCGACGAAAAAATGAATCCAGTGTTGAATGTTTGGTGCTACTCATCTTCTCCTTATAGATCTCGATGTAACAACCAAGACTGTCCTCAATGCTGCATTGAATCTTTGAGCTACATTCTCTTGCTGGGTTGTCATCTATAAGGATTTGCATTGCTTGCTGGAACATGTTGAACGATTCTGCCATCTCTTGGAAGTTAGCGTTCGTTGAGGTTCTTTAACGGGACTGTGTTCTGTTAACAGTTGCAGATCGTCGTTGGTGAGCTCTTCTGTATGGGATGCCAGGACGTCCTCAATATCCTCTGATTCCAGCTCATCAAAGCCTGCCTGTCTAGCCAAGCTGAGGATATCCCTATTCACAGCTGGGACTAAGTCCGTGAATCCCGTAAAACTGTTGACGCACTCGGGCCACAGTTTACGCCACACACCATGCAGACAACTTTCTGAAACCTCTTCCCATGCCTTGCCAATGTTGTCAATTGCATGAAGAATGTTGAAGCCGCCTCCAGTATTCTCGGATCGTTGGTTTATTTTCTCCGTCTGTAGCCTTGAGTAGCTGGGCCATGGTACGGCGTAAATAATACGTCTTGAATGGGGCGATGGTGACTTGGTCCATAGGCTGCATCAGTGCTGTTGTGTTGGGAGGCAGGAATACAACTTTTACACTGTCATGCAAGTCATCGAGATCGGGAGGATGAGCTGGAGCATTGTCAACGATCAGAAGAATTTTGAAGTTAACCCTTAATCCCCGGGTTAGGGTGGTGCTGGCAGTAACACCCACCCACCCCCCACCCCCCTGCCGGGATAAATCGAGAAAAAATAAACTTAAACGAAAATAATTACAGGTATTAAAAACAAAAACAAAAAAATGGTGGGAAAATAGGCAGACGTTCTGTAATGTCACCCGGGGCCTAAGGGTTAAGGTTCTCCTTGGCACAGTATTCCTTCGGTGCAGGGACGGCGTACACGTTCAACCGCTGACTAAATTGGCGCCAGTTATCCAGGCCTTCTTGTTTGCCTTGTAGATCACAGGAAGGTGATCCTTAAAGTAACCTTTTAGGGCCCGTGTGTTTGTAGCGCAAAAAATCAGCATAGGCTTCAGCTTGAAGTCGCCAGCAGCGTTCGCGCCAAGCAGCAGCGTCAAGCAGTCTTTTGTCGCTTTAAAACCCTGCGCTCTTTTCTCCTCCTTGGAGATACTGTATAGGCATCCTCTCAGGCATCCAATTTCAAAAGAGACCAGTCTCATCCACATTGAAGACTTGCTTCAGTGAGTAGCCTCCTTGCTGGATAATCCCTTTGAATTCTGGCGGGAATGTCTCGGCAGCAACCGTATCTGAACTGGCCGCTTCACCAGTCATCTTTATGTTGTGGAAGTTATAACGACGCTTAAATCGTTGAAACCAGTTTCCTTTATAGCGTCAAACAAGGATCTGGCCTTATGCTGGATAACCATAAGGCTCACAGGTGCATTGCATTGATTCTGGTCCTCCATCCACATTGCCAGCATCTTTTCCACCTTCTCTATCACAGTGCTTCTAGTATGAGTTGTCTCAGTTACACTGAGAGTAGAACCACTTCCAGCACTAACCTTAATCTTGTCAGCATTGGTCCGGATAGTACGCACTGTTGTGAGGGTTAGACCAAGCACAGTGGCTATGTCTACAGCAGGGGTTCTCAACCAGGGGGGAATTTCCCCCCTCAGGTTTTCAGGGGGGGGGAAAACTGATACTAATATG